GACTGCCTGGTGAGCATGGGACAGGGACACTGAGGGTCCTGGGGGGACACAGGGGTCTCACACAGCTGTGCCCCCTCCCCAGGCATGCCTGAACTTCAACAGGAGCGGGATTTGTGAGCTGCACTGCCCCCCACTCGTTGTCTACAACTCAGACACCTTCGAGTCGATGCCCAACCCCGACGGGCGCTACACCTTTGGTGCCAGCTGTGTCAGCCAGTGTCCCTGTGAGTGCCACCCTGGGGGGGTGCGGGGGCAGCCAGCGTGGCCCTGACCCCCCCCTCCCTTCCTGCCACCCCCTGCAGACAATTACCTCGCCACGGAGGTGGGGTCCTGCACCCTCGTGTGCCCCCAGAACAGCCAGGAGGTCACGGTCAACAACGTGCAGAAGTGTGAGAAGTGCAGCAAACCCTGCCCAGAGGGTGAGAACCCCCCCCTAAGGGGTTTCGGGGGGGCTCTGGGTGCCCTGGGGATGTGGGGGAGCAGCCCCCAGGGCATGGGGAGGGGGGCTCTGGATGCTGCAGGATTGTGGATGAGCAGCTCCTCAATGTCCATGGGGTTCCCAAGGTTGTGGTTGAGCAGCACCCCAGTATCTGGACAGGTGTGGGGACCCCAGGAGTGTGGGTGAGCAGCCCCCAAGAGTGGCCTGGGGACCCCAGGGATGTGGGGGAGCAGTCCCCTGGGGGCTGGGGGCTCTCTGGGGACCCCAAGGGTTTTGGTAAGAAGCCTTCCCAAGCTTTGGGGGGCTCTGGGGACACCAAGGGTTTGGTAAGAAGCCTTCCCAAGCTTTGGGGGGGCTCTGGGGACCCCAAGGATGGGGGTGATCCATCCTCAGTGCAGCTCTGGGGTCTCCAAGGCTGTGTGGGGGTGCTGCTGTGCCCTGTGGCTGCTGGGGCAGTGTTTTGGGGGGCTCAGGGGTCCTGGAGGAGCACACCCCTGCCGTGCCCCCCCAGTGTGCTACGGGCTGGGAGTGGATTTCCTGAAGGGTGTCCGTGCTGTGAACGCCTCCAACATCCAACACTTCTCTGGCTGCACCAAGATTTTTGGGAGCCTGGCTTTTCTCCCCGAGACCTTCGCTGGGTGAGTGCCTGATTCCCCTCCCTGAGCCCACTGGGGACCCCCAAAAGGAACCCCCCAACCTCCCTCCCATCCCCTGCAGGGACCCCAGC